ATATATTTCTGTGAAGTAATATGAGACATACTTCCACTGAAAAATTATTTACCTAAAATTAAATTTAACTGGGCATCATGTATTTTCTTTTAACAAATTTAGTGTAAGACAAGTGTAGAATTAAGAGCATCTCTCTGTGATTGTGATTAACTCCATTAAAAATCAACCAAAGTAATACTTACCTAACAAAAATGAAAATGAGGAAAAGATGCTCATCATCACTTGTCATCAGTGAAATGCAAATCAAAACCACAATGAGATACCACCTCACAACTGCAAGAACGGCTCATAGCAAAGAGGCCAGAAACAAGAAGTGCTAAAGAGAATGTGGAGAGGAAGAAAACCTCGTATACTGTGTGGGAATGTAGACTGGTTCAGCTATTATGGAAAACAGTATGAAGGTTACTCAAAATATTAAAAATGGATCTGCCATATGACCCAGAAATTTCACTCCTAGGTATCTACCTGAAGAATACAAAAAGACTAATTCCAAGGAAAATATACATTCCAATGTTCATTGCAGCACTATTTACAATAGCCAAGCTATGAAAACAACAAGTGCCCAAATATAGATGAGGATGAATGGATCAGGAAGATGTGGCCTATATACACTCTGGAATATTACTCAGCTATGAAAAAATATAAACTCTTGCCATTTGTGACAACATGGGTAGAACTGGAGGGGATTATGCTAAGCAGAATAAATCAAGAGAAAGATAAATACCAGATAGTATCACTTATAAGTGGAATATAGAGAATTAAAACAAAGGGTCAGATAAAGCCAAACCATTAACAAGCCATAGAAACATGACTGTAGAACTGAGGCTACAAAAGGGGCAGGAGGAAGGGTGAGAAAAAAGTGGGGAAGGAGCACATGGACCATGGTGGTAGATTATGGGTGCTTGGGTGGTGGGGGTGATGTTGTAACACTACCTAAAGGGGAGATCCTGTACCTCCAAAACATAATGTTTAAATCAATGTTAGCTCAATTAAAATAAAATTTTAAAGAAAGAATAAAAAGATATTCAATGGAAGGAAAATGAAATCAAAACTAATCTCTGATATATCACTTCCATTAGACTGGCACAAATCCAAAAATATGCCAGCATGTTCTTTTGATTCAGATGTAGAATAATGTGCACTTTCATACATTACTGCTGATAATTTCTCCCACATAGACTTTTAATGTTTTCAGTTGCTTTATCTGGAAGCAAGATACAAGATGGATTGAAAAAAAGTTTCAGAATAAGTTGATGAGCTAAAATGTTATCTACTAAACTATCTGAATAAACAGGAACTCAGACTGAGATGATAGTATGAAATGTACAATAGTGGAAATGGCTAAAATCTGAGATTCTCAAATTAGACAGTAGTCTCTCCGTCCAAGTACAAATGAGGCACGACCCTACTTAGCTTCCAAGATCAGGCATCGTCAGGGTGGTATGGCCACTGACATAATGCAGACAGTGGAGACAAATCCCTTCTCCCACTTACGAAATATATGACCTTGGGCAAGATACTTCATTTCTCCAGAACTGTTTTTTTCTTGTGAAGGTAAGATGACACTAGTATCTATAGTTAATATCTTCGAGGACCACTGTGATGCTTATATGAAATAATACATACAGGATGCTTATAATTCCTGACACACACTAAAAAATAAACAAAAGTATTAAAAAATTTTTGAGGTGACAGTTTAAAGAGAGTTCGGGATACCATGACAGAATGCTTTAGGAAACAGGAAGAAATCTCATAATTTAGCCAAGGAGGCCAGAAGGCATATTGAAGTCACTTTGACATGGGAATTATTGAGTTCAGGTGCCATTACTGTGATACATTCATTGCTACAGGAGGTATTCTGTATAAATATGGATTACAGGATTACAAAATGAATGTCTGATAACATTGCAAATGGCAATGTTTATTTGAAAATTATCTGAATACAGGTGATAAGTGAAGCTATGACTAGATGAGGCTCCAATTATTTAAAAATAAAAGCAAAGGGTTGAGGACAGGCTAGGGAAAAAAGTACCAGAAGAGAGTAATATATAAAAATATCTAAGTGTCACATCTTGGAAGATGATGAAGCACTCATTTTAATTGTAGGTTTTCCTCTATATTCTACACTCAGAGCAGTAATATTTTTTAAGGAAAACCACTGGGCAAGTGTTCAGGAAATCTGGATTCTAACCCAATTTAGTTAACTTGTTCTGTAGTCCGTAGGTAAATCACTCCCCATCTTTGGATCTGTTTCCTCTTCTGTAAAAGAATGTGGGACCACATGATTTATTGGACAGTTCTTTCAACTTTATGATTTTATAAATTACATACAGGATGTTTAAAAATGTTTACAATCCATAGCCTCGAAAAAGCCTTCTTCATATATTCCCACAGTCCTATCACAGATGTTTAGTGACCTTACAAAAATCAGGAAGAACTAGATATACTTTCCTAGAAAAATACCATTTCAAAAGTCTCTCAAACTTTCCTGCTGTTCACTAACAGACTATACTTACTATAATTTTATTGAAGTCTCTGTGTTGTAACTGGTAAACACCTATAAAAACTATGAAAATCTGAATACAGATTACAAATTACAAGATTTACTAAAATGATCCTTCCTATAAAAGGATTAATTTAGAGATTTCCTCTTCTACAATTCTTACTACTTTTATTTAGGGTTTCATACAAACATTTTCTACACTATTTTTACACATTAAAAAAAATAAAGGTTTCTCTTAGCTTACTACAAAATAATTTCATAACTCCTATTCCAGAGAGAATTTCTAATCTCTTTCATTATGGTTTTCAAGATAATTCATATTACTTTCTTGATTTACATTCTAGTTGATTCATTATGCTTTTGCAAAGGAAAAAAGTTATAGTGATGAGAAGAAACTATCTAGATACATCATTAATAATATAAATTTAAAAAAATTTTAATCATGTAGTTTTTTCCTACAGTCCAATTCTCAATACACTTTCCATGAGCTATAAAAAAAAATACTGGGTCCAGTTTGGTAATTTCCACAAAAAGAACTTGCTAGGATTTTTATTGGAATTGTATTAAGTCTATATAGATAAAAATCAGAGAAAAATGAATCTTATGATCCATGAACATAATATATCCCCTTATTTAGATCTCTCTCACAGTATTTTGTAGTTTTCAGTTTATATGTATTTCACATTTTCAGTCAAATTAATCCTTAAGCTTTTTCATTTTCTTTTTTGCTTCTAAGTGGTATTTTTAACATTTTATTGTCCAACTGTTCATTATTAGCATATAGAAATATAGAAATGAAACTGATTTTGTGTATTGACTTTGTGTCCTGCAACTTTGCTAAAGTCATTTATCCTAGTATTTTTTTTTTTTTTAGTATTCCATGGTATTTTTGTTTACATAGTCTTACATCTTTCTTTCCAATTGGATGCTTTTTATTTTTTGTCTTGTCTTATTGCACTGGCTAGACCCTCTAATACCATGCTTAATTGATGACAATTTTTATAGCATAATATTCCTGCGGGCCCAGGCCCAGGTTAGGCTCAATTCAGACTTTTTTTTGAGCCTGCTAGATCACTATTTGTACTCTTATTAGACTCTTAGTTTTATTATTAGACTCTTAGTTTTTCTAATGTTTAAATATTCATCAAATGTTCAATTATTGTACAATCATTGCATGCCACACAGTGTGCTGGTTGTCAGGGAGATAATGGTGCACAAACATGAACATGGCCCAGATGAAGTCTTAACATCTTACTGAAGCAGTTGAGAATCAGAGTTAGAATAGGCTCTGGCAAAAACAGACAGTTACAAATCAGAGACATACTGCAGGGGAGGAGGAGGGAGAGGGATCAGAGGAAGGGAGGGAGGAGAACAGGAGACTGTGGTGATGGTTCACGGGTGCCTTGGGGAAGGAAATTCTATGGGGACCCAACCTGAGGGGGTGGGGGGAAGAAAATATTGTTTAAAAAAATTAAAAATTAAAAAAAAAAAAAAAGAAGCATAGGCTCTAGGTTCAGTCCACTTAGGGTTTGAATCTGGCTCTGCTCCTTACTGGTTGGTTGACCTTAAAAGTTAATGGAGTTTGCTACACCTGTTCCTTCATCTGTAAAATGACAGCATTAATATCTATCTCCTAGGATACTCTGAAGATTAAATAAATGAATGCCTTTAAGCACTTAGAAAGGGGCTTGGTACATAATCAGTGAATACTGTTTATTATTAGAAAGCAGGGCTAATTCTTCACAGGATAAATCTACAAATGACTGATAGAGTGGTTATCCAAACACTAAGAAGCACAAAAAGTAGTTTAAGTTAGCGGCTAAGGACGCTAGTATCACTCATACCTGGATTTAAACCGTTGCTCCGCTGTTTAATGTCTTCATAACTTCGAACAACTTAAACAGGAGCAATGCTTATAAAGCACACAAGAGATGCAAAAAGGGCACCAATTATTGACCACAGACATTTTGAAAAGTACTTAATATCATTGTGTGTCCAAATTAGCTGCCATTAGGACTTACCATTTCATACCCTGTGCTACTTACTTCTCATACACTTTTTTATGCTTCCTACCCCAGCTGAGCATAATTGGCTCCACTTCATGCTAAAGACACCAGATGATTTGTGTAGGTATAACCAGTGGCAGGTTGGAGGCCTATTAAGTGGTAGCTTGGAATTCAACTCTTGACCAAAGAGGGACTTGCAGGGTAGCTTTTGTCCACGGCCCCCCACCCCCTCCATGGAGTCCCTGCCCAGAGAAGCCTGCCAAGAGAGGTCTCTCCCGCTGCTACTTGGGCACGTCCCCTCCTTGGCCTTCGCCCCACCCTCCCCTCTCAAGTAGGGTGGGTACTAGCCTCCTAAGGTCCTCTGAGGAGAAGAGCCAAAGTCCAAGCAGAGCGCCTGGAGGGAAGACCAGGCGCCGTCTCCAGGCAACGCGCTGAGGGCAGAGCTGTTGCGTCACTGACGTGCGACCGCGTCGCCAACGAGGCCGCGGGCGCTGCGCCGCCTCCGCCCACGGATCTGAGCGGCTGGCTGGGCGGCGCGGCAGCTGCCGGAAGCGCGATGCCGTGAACCTGGGGTGAGCTCCGCAGCGCTGTCCTTTGGTCGTTCCCTTCTTAGCCGCTCCACGACCCCGGAGCTGCAAGTGTAAACACTAGCCGGGCTTTGCCTGCCTGGCGAGCCGGGCTTCCAAGGGGAGACAGGCCCCACCCCGCCCGCGTTCTAGGCCTCGGCTTGGGGCGCGGGGAGAGCTTGGGAGGCCCTACCTTGGACGCACCGGCTTAAGTCTGGCCGTTTCCTGCGACCAGGCGTGAAGGTGGCTCGTCCAGTTTAGGGGGTGGTCCTGAGCTACCCGGAGAGTTTTTCTTCCTCGAGCCGCATTTGAATGGTGCCGCCGGCGCAGTCGGCAGCTGTTGGTTAAAAGTGCGTGCTGGGCCTCCCCGGTGGCGCAGCGGGTTGAGCGCAGCGCTGGGAAGCTGTCTGCAGGCTCTGCAGCGCGGGTTCGAGTCCCGGCTGACCAGGGAGATACCCACATGGCGCGGCAGACCTCTCCTAGCTTGCTCGCTGCTCCCCTCAGCAGTGCTTTCGGGCCATCTGCCTGATCTGCTCCCCACTCTGTCTCTGGTGAATCCTCTAGCCCTCCCGTGCCTCTGGTCTGTATCCCAGCTCTTGTATAAAAATAAATAAATCTTAAAAAAATAATAACATAAAAGTGCATGCTGCACTCAAGAGGGGCAGTGGCGGGGAGGGAAGAGGCAGCGCTGGGGTGGCTGGAGGGTAACGGGAGTGGCTTAGTAGACACTGGTACTGTTAGAAACCCAGTGTGCCTCCGCCTTATTGAACCCTTTGCACTCCGCTGTCCCCTCTCAGGGGACATCGGAATTCTAGCATATCACTCGGATGTCCCCTCTCAGGGGACATTGCAATTTATTAGTGATTACGGGGAATTGAGGTTATTTCAACGCAACTTTTTGAGACATGCATGTTTCCCTGAAGTTTTATCTTGAAATGGCACAAGAAATTAAATCAAAATATCGTAAAATGGTTCGGAGTGCAAAGGGTGAACACTCCAAATTAGAAACCCTTTGCCGGGGGCGGTAACTCTGAAAAGGCTAAGTCTCTAGTTAGCGGGTACTACACTTGTCAATTAAATTAACCTCGGCTGCACCTCTTGCCAAAGGCTTGAGACACGGCTGAGACCAAACAACGTTTCCTTGCTAATAATTATAATTATGCCTGGAAAGGAAGTGTCTGTTAGCTTTTTAAACGTGTTCTTCAGTTATTTGTCTCACGTTACAAAATGTGGATTGTTGAAATTTATCCTTAGTCCCTTTGTTAAATTGCACTGTATGTCCATATTCTAACCCTGTTCTGTTTCATCGCACTAAACAATTCTGTTCTTAACCTCTACAGTATTTATAAAACTGCCGTGACACCTCTTACGATTTATAATTTTTACACCTTGTGCACGAAGTTATTTTTCTCCACACCCTTCCTCCCACTCTTCACGCATAAAATGAGATCCGTACATTAAGAATTTCATTTAGGGCATGACGTGCCACGGACCAACGCTCTGAGAGTATTAATCTTTATTGAAGTCACTGCTCTGGAAAGTGATGCTTTCTAAATTCAGAACTCAGAAAAGTGGGCTTTTTCTCCTTTCATGCTGTCTGTGTGCTCTTTTTAAATGTTTACCTCTAGAATCTGTGTGTTTTCAAAGTATGGTTTTTGTCATCTGGTTTAAGTGAACTTTATATTTGATGTGTGTAGCTTATCCTTATTAGTTTACGGCTAAGCTTCCCTCCCCCTTCTTCCAAAAAGACAGGGAAGGTTCAGAAAATTCTTGCAATCTATTTAGTATATTTCTCCAAATATGTGATAATGTATTTAGCAGAACACTAGTGTTACTAGAAATTTGTGTTAATTCTTAATCTCCAAGTGCACTCTAGCCTTTTGTAGTTTATCTTTCTATATATGTGTATTTTTATTATATTTGAGCCTAGAACAGGTTCCCACATTAGAGTGACTTTGAACTAATTGTGTCACTATGTATCTGTTATAAGCTGCTATTAATTTTTTGTTTTACAGAACAGAGGGTATCTACTTACAGATCTAGAGTTTGCCATGAGTAATAAATAGTATCCTTAAGGACTTAGTTTATAGTGTATCTTTTATCACTGATACTATAACTCACTTGAAATATGAAAATAGTTGGCAATGACAATTAGTTTATAATACATTCTTACAAAATTTGATGGAGAATAGGTGTAGAATTTTTAAATACTACCATACTTGTGAACTAGTCATCTTGTACTTTCAGGCTTTTCAATTTTGTTTTAATCCTTTAATGCATGAGTTATAGTTTAAGTTTTCATGGAATTTTTGTTTGGGTTTTTTTTTTGGGGGGGGGCAGTTATCCATGATGTGATTTTTATATTTATATAAGTAATATTTGAACTATAACAATTCATTTATTAGAAAAAGAAGTGATTAAAAAAGAAACAGAAAAAGAAGTAAACAAGTGTATGCTACCACCCACTAGAGAATGTGGCATTTTTGGAATCCTTGATATTCTTAAGAGTTTTGAAATAACAGTTGTTCTTTATTTGGAAAATCTGTCAAATGCCTATTGAAAGCACATTATTATTGTGCTAGAAATAAATTAAATGGAAACTATTGGTTCTTTAGAAAATGTTGGCGAGAGATTTGTTTTTTTTTTAATTCTGTGCCAGTGATTTGTGAATTCCTGTTCCTGTGCAATACTACTGTTGCATGATGGAAAAGGAAGTATTTTGCTACTATTAGATAATGAATACATCCTAATTTATTAAGCATTACTTTGGTGATAATTTTTTACAATTTTTTATTTTTCTTCTGTCTGTCTTCAACCCGCTCCACTTCTGGATAGATATGAATGATAAGAAATTCTCTTATTGATCTGAAATTGCCTAATTGATGTTTATTGGCCATTCTGTTTTCTGTAGCTATTAACAGTAGATCTTCCTCTTCCACATGTTAGCTTTTCAGATGTTTGAACAAACCTATCTTGTATTTCCACATTGTTACTGAACTTTGACTGTCTAGAATAAACTGTTTGCTTTTCTACATTCATGACATTTTGTATGTTTGCCAGAGTGTGGTCAGTAATTAATTAGTGCCCTTTGAAAGTATGGTTGCTTAAAGCTGAATACAGAAGGTTAGTGTTATCTAATCATTACAGAGCACTAGGGGTCTCAGCACTGACTATGGGACATCTGCTGCTAGCAAGAATTTAGGATTATTTTGGCAACTTTCTTATCTCCATTTAGACTTCTTTTGAATAAAACCCTCTTTTTTATATTTAACTGCTGTTAAACACTTACGTGTACATTTTTGTGCAGTTTTCAAAACATGCTGAGGATTAAACTTTTAGTTATATTAAATATTCAGTTTCAGAAAATCTCTCTTTCGGTCTTGATACTGGTATTCATTCATTCATCCCAATTTTAGTCACCCGCAGATTGGGCAGGCATGTAGTCTAATCTTTGGGTCATCAATTAAAAATGGTAAATAGCCCTTCTCTTGGTGCCAGTTGTCCTGTCTTTCTGACTCGCTACTTAAGTCACTATGGCCATTTTTTTTTTTAAATACTTCAAAGTTCCATGTTCCTCTCTATCACCGCCACTCTCTAGAACCTCCACCTGGAATGTCCTCACCCTGCCTCTATCCCTCTTCTCTCATTAATTCTGACACCTCAAATCAGATGTTGTTTATTCAAATATTTCTTTCCAGACACAAGCCTATATCATGTTCCCCTTTCATGGCCTTTTATAACACCCTGAGTTTCTTTGACTTAGCACTTTTCATTTTATTATTATATATTTATTTTTGTGATTGTTGTATTTTACCCACTGTGTCAAATGATCCATGTTAGCAAGAACCAAGTTTCTCTCACTGTGATACTGTGAATATGCATTTTGGTCTTCATCCCTTTTCTGGACAGAGTTCCTAAAACCCTTGGAATTTCCTCAGTAAAGAAGGCTATAAATGTGTGTTTTGTTACGTTATCATGGTAATTTTTGGAAAGCACCTAAGAGTGGAGATGTTTGTCCATGGAGCCAATCTTATGATTAGGAGGTTGGAACTTTCAGTCCCAACCCTTAGCCTTCCCCTTACCTCCAAGAGAGATAAGAGTGGCTAGAGGTTCTATCTGGCCAATGCTTATATCATGAAGCCTCCATAAAACCCCAAAAGTATGGCGTTTGAAGATCTTCCAGATTGGTGAACATGTGAAGATTTGGGGTGAGCAGCACACTCAGAGAGCATGGAAGCTTAGAGCTCTTCCCACATACCTTGCCCTATGCATCTCTTCCATTGGCTGTTCATGAGTTTTATAATAAACCAGTAACCTAGTAAGTAAAATGTTTCCTTGAGTTTTGTGAGCTGTTGTAACAAATTTATCAAAGGTGGGAGATCACTGGAACTTCCAAGCTATATAACCATTAGATCAGAGGCATAAGTGATAACCTGGGCTTCCATCTGAAGGTTGGAGAGGATACTCTTATAGGACTGAACCCTTAAACAATGGGCTCTGTTGAATATTTCCAAGTAGAGAGTGTCAGAATCAAGTTGAATTGTAGGACACCCTGCTGGTGTCCCAGAATTGCTTGTTGGTGTGGGAACTCTTCACTCTCCCTTACCACCCCCACCCCAATATGTGTTGGAATTCGGGGCCAGAGCCTTCACTGTTGTATCCCCATAACATAGCATAGTGTCAGGTACATAGTACTTGTTGAATTTAGTTTTTTAAAATGGTCATATAACACAGTGTCTCCATGAAAGTGTCCTACATGTATTGGCTCCTGAGGATAATGCAGTACAAATAGAGTACATTAAACTCCAATCTTTGGATTAGAGCAAGAAAAATAAGGACAATGGTGCATATGTGTAGTATATGTCAGTATGAAGTTATTGCCTTCTTTTATTCTAATATGTTCTCCTCTTTTTCAGGTTATTAATTTTTTATGTAGTTTTGGGGAATTTTTGTTTATTTTTGGAAACTATTCTTACTTAGAATAAAATTAAATATGCAACACCATGATGCTTTGAGAGTTTACCAGTCTTTAAAATCCAGAACTCACTAATCTTGAAGACCTTAGAGACCTTCTCTAAGTTAAGATCTTTGTTTCTCTTTGGATATAGTTGCTATGAATCCACTTGGCTGCATAAACAAATATATAATTTTTCCTTCAACCATGTTTCTTAGTGGCCTCATTCTTTCTGTATCTCTGTTATATAATATTAATCATGGCCAAGTAGGCTCAGATTCAAAATGGTTATTGTTGAGTTTTCTTTTTTAGCATAATTATACTTTTTCTACATTTAAAGTAAGTAAAAAAATTGTGCCTCCCTGGTGGCGCAGGCAGTTGAGCACAACGCTGTGAACCTGTCTGCAGCCTCTGCAGTGCGGGTTTGATCCCGGCTGGCAGCGGAGATACCCACATGGCGCGGCAGACCTCGCCTGTCTTGCTCACTGCTCCTCTCAGCAGTGTATTTCATTACATCTGCCTGTTCTGTTCCCTGCTCTGTCTCTTATGAATCCTCTCACCCTCCCGCACATCTGCCCTGTACCCCGGTTCTTGTATGTATGAATAAATAAATCTTTAAAAATAAATAAAAATTAAGTAAAAGAATAAACCTCAAATATGGTACGTTAAACTTTAATACTAAAAGAAAGTGTTGTATGTTTAGGAATACTAACAACTCTTCTTATAAGTGGCTCTGTATTTTAAAGTTAAATTATATTTTAAAGTTATACGTTCTCTGAGAACTTTTCCTATAAAATTGTTAATTTTTCACCTGCTTTATACGAGTATAAATTTGGGTGAGATAAAATGACAGTGTTTAATGGATAAATAAAATGAAATTTTTGTGCTTTTTTTCTAACTTTATTTTTAAAAACCTGCTTTTAGCTATGTGACTTTGTTACTCTAATCTCAATGCATGATTCCTCAGCAATCCTATTTCTTCACCTATACAATGTTTGTTATGGGATTTAAATGACTGACTTACTGAATGGATAGAAAATGCTTAGGAGATTGTGTTATACAGTGGAAGTGATTAACAAATATTAGTCACTTTTAGTATTATTACTAGTAAATAGTAGCTAATAGTGGTAATAGCAACAGTAGCAGTAGTAGTAGTATAATTAGTAGTGGTAATAGTGTTAAATAGGGATTTTTTCACATTCAGTTATAGAAAACATCACCATAAATAAATACTAAAAATGTATCATTTTATTTTAACTATATCTTCAATGCTTGGCAATTTGGCAAATCATTACTTAGCAAAGAAAATGCTATCTAGAATGAACACATCCAACTTTTCTCTGGCCACAGTGCATAGAATTATATCTTTCAGAACTTTAGACTAAGTGGTTATTAAATCCTTTGTGATTAAACTTTTAAGTCAATTCAATAACTTTTGATCTACACTGATAGCAGATTATTGAAGTAGTGATCTGCCCATTTACTTAAAATACCACCTTCATGTTAGAAGACAAGTTACATAAATTCTAAATTGAAAACACCTACAGGAGTTAAAAAACAAAAATGCTGTCTTTTTTTCCCCTAAGTAGAAAACAAGCAGTGGTTAAATGATCAAACATTTTAATTTTCTTAGTTGTTTTAAACCAACATAGTCTTGGGGCCTCCCTGGTGGCGCAGCAGTTGAGCGCTGGGCTGCGAAGCTGCTCACAGCCTCTGCAGTGCTGGTTCGATCCCCGGCCACCAGCGAGGGTCCCACATGGCACGCAGACCTCTCCTGCCGCCTGCTGCTCCCCTCAGCAGTGTACTTCCTCAGTCTGCCTGCGCTACTCTCTGCTCTGACTCTGGTGAATTCTCTCGCCCTCCCGCGCTTCTGACTGTACCCAGTGCTTGTATAAATAAATAAATCTTTTTTAAAAAAGTTAAAAATAAATAAATAAATAAATAAATAAACCAACATAGTCTTAGGGAACTTGTTTACCTTATATAATTTTCCTACTAAACACACTAAAATACTTGTGTGTATGTTTGTGTGAGTGTGTTTAATGGTTTTTGACTTAGCATAATTATAGGAATTGGAGGTTTTATCACCCTCCCAATAACACAAGTGAATTGGTTTTGTCACTTAGGTATATGATCTTAGAAAATAGACATATAAATCTCTTTTGAAAGTAAAAGCCTCATGTTAGTCTACTGAACTTTCACTTAAAGGTATTCCTAATTTTTCTTTTTTTTTTTAAAGATTTATTTTCATTTATGCATATAAGAACTGGGGTGTAGGCCAGAGTTGTGAGAGTGGTGGGTGAGAGGATTCACCAGAGACAGAGTAGGGAGCAGAACTGGTGGATCTACTGAAATATACTGCTGAGGGGAGCAGCAGGCAAGACAGTTGAGGTCCGCTGCACCATGTGGGTTAGCCTGGCTTGGGATCAAATACATGCCACAGTGGCTGGCAATAGCTTCATAGTGCTGAGACTTTAACCCCTCCACCACCAGGGACGCCTTTTTCTTTATTTTCTTGAATGTATAGTTATACTGCTGTTTTTATATGTAAAAGTAACCTCTATATATATATATATATATGTATTTGACAGGTACAATGTGAAACACACTCTGGATTTCAAATAACACCATTTCATCATGGGACAGCAAATTTCGGATCAGACTCAATTGGTTCTTAACAAGTTACCAGAAAAAGTAGTAAAACATGTCACATTGGTTCGAGAGAGTGGCTCCTTAACTTATGAAGAATTTCTTGGGAGAGTAGCTGAACTTAATGATGTGTAAGACTTGTATATTTTTTTTCCATTTTATTGTGTCCCTCAATGTTTGCTTCCTATGTCATGAATGTGTGAGAGGTAGCCAGAAATGTTGATTGGGAAGACTTAATGTTCTCAGCAGCATTTAGCAAATATTTATTGAACATCTACTGTAGGACTCTCTATATGGCAATTTTAAAACATAATAGGAACAGAAGAGGCCATAGGAACTAAGAATTGAATTTGTAACACAGGCATATAAGTTGACTCTTGTTAGAAAATACTAAGGAAATACATAACAGAAGAGAACTTGCTAATTAACCACTCCAGAGAAAGGTTCCTAGGAGTTAAAGGGTTCTCAGGTTTCTGTACATCAACCATTTCAGCTTAAATAAATGAAGCTACTGTGTTTGTTCACTGAGCCATCATTTTGCCAGAGAAATACATATATAATAATATTTAATTTGTCATCATTAAGGAATAGGATTTCATTTAATATTTTCTAATTAGCTAACATCATTTAGTGAATTTCTACTTTATTTAAATCTTTACTTAACTCTTGAATAGATTTCTGGCTATGATGGAATATAAATTTCCCTGCCTTCTTTAAGAGCACACCTATTATAACAGCCTTTTCTTTGTGAATTTATTCTTTATCAGTCAGGGTTCTATATTACTGAGTGGCCCCAATTTGCTATACTTTTCAAGTGTTGCTTTTTTGTTTTTTGTGGGTTTTTTTCTGCTAATGACAGGTGAGGTGTCACTTCTAGTAAACTTCTAGCACCCACATCTAAGTGTGTGTGTGTGTGTGTGTGTGTGTGTGTGTTCTGTCTCCCTTGAGGTACAGTTTATTCACATCACCTTTTAAATAACATCTTAAAGGTTTCTTTCTTTAGTTTGTTCACTTTAACATCACTGAGCCCTTACTATGTGTAAAGAACTCTGCTGAGAGTTGAACATTTGAACTAAGACCTAAAATGCTTAACCAAGTATTTATGACAGATCCAGCTCTCTGTAAGTCTGAAGCTCCTTCTGGGATCCTACATCACCTCTCCTTAAACCCATAAAAGTCCAAAGAAAATCATCTAGCAGTCTAGGACCACATTGTATGTAAACGTACAGTCACTATTGTTTAGGGTAAGTTACATGAACCTGCTCCCCAAGCTTTGTCATAGCTGTATTGGATGATAAGAAACATACTTGGCCCTCTGGAATGCTTTAGATTAAAAAAAAAATACTGTCTTTTTATGAATATGGCTAGAGTCTGCTGTTATTAACAAGTCATGAAGAATAAAGTATCTTGAAATTTAAAGTCATTTTAGAGGATCATTTCTTTTAAGAACACTGGATTTCCTCCACTTAAAAACCCTAAATATATTGATGGATCATATATGAATATATATGTAAACATAGAAAATTTACTAGAAGGATATACACTGAGTATTTGGGGAATCAGTAGAAAAAGGGGGCACTGAATGGAGATTTTATATTTGTGTATTATCTCATCTTTTATGTTAAAAATGTAGTCATGAGTTTTAAAAACCAACAATTTACTTTTTTTCTAATTTTTTAGAACATAAAAGATGGTAGTATTTGAAGCATTGCTTTCGGGATACTTATTTATTTTTTCTTACAATGTTTGCTTTCTTTTCTCAGGTGTAGTCCCCACAGAATTTCCACCACCAATTCACCTGTGCACCATCACCATAGGCCCTTGTGCTCTTCCTGCTGTCATTTTGATCCCTTTCCCTCCCTCTCCCCTGCAGAATGTCTCTGATTTATAGTTGTCTGTTTATTTTTGTTTTGTTGTGGGTTTTTTGTTGCTGTTTTTTTTTTTTCTTGATCCCCTATATTCCTCCTATAAGTGAAATCATCTGGTATTTTTATTTTTTGTTCTGACTTATTTCACTAAGCATAGTTTGGGATATTCTTAAGGAGTAAAATTGGATTGACAATTTATTAGTATTATAAGAGTAAAACTTTTTTATTTATATTTCAATTCTTTTTATATTTTTATATTTTATTATCATTTTTCATTTTTGCACAATGTATGCATTTTCATTTTGGTTATATTCCCCATACAATTCCCACTCCCCTTATTTTGACCCTAATCCCTCCTTTCTTCCTCCCCCCCAACCCCCAGTGTGTCTCTGGTTTATAGTTGCTTGTTAATTTTTATTTTTTCTTGATTATAATTTGTCTTTTTCCTGGTCCCTTGTTTAGGTTTTCTAAATTCCTGCTTTGAGTGAGACCATCTGGTATTTTTCTTTTTCTTTCTGGCTTATTTCGCTGAGCATGATCCCATCCAGCTCCGTCCATGTTGCTGCAAATAGCATGAGTTTGCCCTTTTTTGATTGCTGAGTAATATTCCATTGTGTATATATACCACAGTTCTTGATCTAGTCATCTATTTTGGGGCATTTGGGTTGTTTCCAAAGCTTAGCTATTGTAAATAGTGCTGCTGTAAACATAGGGTTGCAGGTACCCTTTTGAATTAATGTTTCTGTGTCCTTTGGGTAAATTCCTAGGGGTGGAATTGCTGGATCATATGGAAGCTCTATCTTTAGTAGGTTGAGGAATCTCCACACAGCTTTCCATTGTGGTTGGACCATTTTGCACTCCCATCAGCAGTGCAGGAAAGTTCCTTTTTCTCCACATCCTCGCCAACATTTGTTTTTGCTAGTTTTTTTAATATGTACCGTTCTCACTGGAGTAAGATGGTATCTCATTGTAGTTTTGATTTGCATTTCCCTGATTACAAATGATATTGAACATTTTTTCATATGCCTGTTGGCCGTTTGCATTTCCTCTTTGGAGCAGTTTCTTTTAGCTCTTCTGCCCATTTTTTGACTGGATTATTTTCTTTGTTTTTGTTCAGTCTCATCAGCTCTTTATAGATTTGTGATCAGTCCTTTATCGTTAGTGTTGTGTGCAAAAATGTTCTCCCAGTTGGTGGGGTTTCTCTGTGTTTTGGTTATTGTCTCTTCTGCTGTATAGAAGCTTTTTAATTTGATGTATTCCCAGCTATTTATATTTCAATTCTTATACAGAGTAATCTGTGATCTTTGCCATCCCTTTAGAGGTTTTGAATTTACATTCATAAACCTATTCTATTCAATGAAATTTTGCCTTTGGCCTAAAGATATCAGATAAAATGTGTCCTATGAAGGCAACCATGAGCTAAACTTACTGTGTAATACAGAGGCAATGGTAAAGAATGTCTTCCTTTTATTTAACACAAGAGATACCTGACTATATTTTCTCCAGAGACCATTTCACAAGTGCAGTGCTGTCTGAGAACTACAAAGTTAAGACTCATGACTTGATAGGTAGGAAACTGACACAGTCAAATTCTTTTCACTGGCCGATTTTGATACCAAATTAAGCTAGTTGCTTAATTTTCAATGGCCTCTATTTATTTAGCTATGTCACTTTGTTGAGTGGTATCTCCACTGGTACTTGGAGAGAAATATTAGTAATGATAAAGGGAATTGTAATGCTTATGTCCTTGAACTGATTTAGATTGGCATTGGTAGCAATGGTACTGAATGATCTGCTGAAAGTGATGTTGCTATGTTAGAATCCTGTGACTCTAAACTAAAATTACTGTGCTAGGGGAAGAGAATAAATCTATAAAATCTCAAAATTGTTTGTTTGATCTGTTCCCAACTTAAAAAAATACTCATACAGGTGTGTTACTATTGTTGCTTTAATAAAGACCCAAGCAAGAGCAAGATTTTTTCACACTTTATATCCATTTGAGGCAATAGTCAAGATTTAGATAAATGAAACCAACTAAACTTACTCTTTAAATAACTGATACCTTGGGAATGTTTTTCCTAAATCTTTTTTAAAGACCAGTGAGATACAGATAGGACAGAAAAGATTATAAATATCATTCCATTATGCTGTTGACTTTAAAAACGTTGGAAAATATATGTTTATAATCAAAACATTCTCCATCCCTCTGTTTTAAAAATCTAATTATTATAGTCTTTATTATAATTTGTGTTTGTTTTCTTCAAATTTTCATTTGTTTTAAAGTGTTTCTTGAATCTGCTTTTATGACTTCATTATATTATATGACTTTTCATAAAGTTAGCAAAGGTGTCTGTATCTTTTCAGAACTGCTAAGGTGGCTTCTGGCCAGGAAAAACATCTTCTCTTTGAGGTACAACCTGGATCTGATTCCTCTGCCTTTTGGAAAGTGGTTGTACGGGTGGTTTGTACCAAGGTGAGAATGATAGAGACTTCCAAGTCTGAACTTTATTTTGGTGGTTAGAACTATATTTAGTAGTTTAGTATGTTATAGTAGAATAATTATAGTTTGAAGCTATTATTGCTTCCAGGTTAGCTGTTTGAATCTCATTGTTCATAATTGCCATATAGCAGGGATTTTTACTTCAAGGAAGGTGGCAGTAAATTCTTGTCCTTACCTTTCACCTCTTTGAATTTTAGCCAACTATAAAATCCTAAACTTATTTAGCTCTAAGTTGACTGTTTAAAAATTAAAGTTATATTAAAAGATCATTTCTTTTTAGAACACTAGATTTTATTTAGAAATCTATCAAAGGTTTTGTTACTTTGGCTTTTTTTTTAGTAATTTTTACTTTTAGAATGGGGTTTTCACTCTCAGTGCACTTTCTTACTTCATCTTTAATTTTAGATAATTCAATATACCAATCGTGCTAAATATCTAATTCCTAAAATCATAGAATACTGAAAAGTTTTATCCACCAATGGTAGCCTTAAAATAAGTGGTTCTTAACCATTCTAAGACCATAGACATTATGATAAAAATGAAAGAATAAATTTTAATAGGCCTCCTCCTTTGCCAATCCCTGCATTAAAGCAAACAATAAAATCATCCATAAGTACCTAAACAATAAATTGAGCATTTATGAATTCTCTGAATTCCATTTCAGATTAACCCAAACCCTGGGTAAGGGGATTTTTTTTTTTTTTTTTCCCTTTGTGACTTGAACTCAAGGAATCATGTCCAATTATAAGTCTAAAGTCAGTCTTATTTCTGCAGTGAGTTGTTTACCACCACTATGTTTTAAATGCATTATAGTTGATTATAAATAGTTGAGCAAGTTGATTATGCATAGAAGTTCTAATCCATTTAAGTAGTAAAAGAACTTTAAAGAAGATCAGAGGAAAAAGACAGAAATGTTAATTCCAGACTTGTCTAAATGCCTGAGGTTGAAAGATGTACTTGATTTAGAGAAAATTAAACAGTAGTTTAATAGCATTTTAACAGTAGTTTAATAGCATTTAAGCACAGTAGTTTAATAACATTCAGCTGGGTTTGTCAGGTCTATCCTCAGTGAACATTTGTTTAGTTGATTATTTTAAAAAGGAAGATATAATAGCTGCCAAATATTCAGCTACCAACATTCAAAAATTTCTTGTGTCAGTCACCACAGAAGTAGCTAATGTACTAGTGTGGGTAGCAGTGTAACTTTATACAGTGCATAATTTTTTAAAAATCACAGTAACAGAATATACACTGAAATACTGACAACTTGATCAAGATCACATTATGTTATTTGTATTTCGATACCTGGGCTCAAATAGATTTAATATCGTCTATCATTCCATAGCTACAGATTTACACTGCACATAATCTTTCAGGACTATTTGAGAGTCAACTTTAAAAGATACATAGATGAATTTAAGAACTCTAGTAGCAAAAGGTCATTTCTGAAAATCATGCATTCTTCATTTCTTCATTTCTTCATTCTTCATTTCTTGCCTTTCTTCCACAGTAGCCAGCTATCCAGTTTGAAAAACCTCTATCTGTATTTCTCTTTGAATTCTCCATTTTTTTCTAAATATTGTCTAATATTATTTGTTCCATTTATTATGCATTTAATAGATTTCATTGCTTGCTTCTGTTCCCATGGTCTTCCAGACCATCTCCTTGTGCTTGAAGGAAGCCCTTCACGTCACTAATCTGTCATTGATTAATTTCTCCAGGAATATTATGTCTCCTACCAACCTTGTTTTGGTCATTTCAGAAGAGCATGTGTACCCTACTCCATAACTCCCCAAGTTTAATGAAAGCAATATTTCTCCTTAATCTGTTATCCCACACTTGCCCCCAAATAGCTCCTCACGTTAAGAATGTAAGCTGAGGGCCTCCCCGGTGGCGCAGTGGTTGAGCGCTGGGTTGTGAAGCTGCCTGCAGACTCTGCAGCACCGGTTCGATCCCCGGCTGCTCCCCAGCCACCGGAGGAGGGTCCCACATGGCGCGCAGACCTCTTCTGCCGCCCGCTGCTCCCCTCAGCAGTGTGCTTTGGTCCTTCTGCCTGCTCTGCTCCCCGCTCTGGCTCTGGTGAATTCTCTCACCCTCCCGTGCTTCTGACTGTACCCAGTGCTTGTATAAATAAATAAATAAATAAATAAAGCTGGTTCTTAATCTCTAATTTAAAAAAAAAAAAAAGAGAGAGAGAGAATGTAAGCTGAGGGCCTCCCTGATCACACAGCGGGTTGAGCGCAGCACTGTGAAGCTGTCTGCAGCCTCTGCAGTGCAGGTTCTATTCCTGGCTGGCCGGGAGATTCCCACATGGCATGGCAGACCTCTCCTGTCTTGCTCGCTGCTCCCCTCGGCAGTATATTTCTGTCGTCTGCCTGTTCTGCTCCCCGCTCTGTCTCTGGTGAATCCTCTCACCCTACCATGCCTCTGGCCTGTACCCCAGCTCTTGTATAAAAATAAATAAATCTTAAAAAAAAAAAATGTGATCAGGAAGGAAGAAAAGTATAACCCCTAGGCTACTGGGGTTATATTTAACCCCAACTCATATTTAAATGAGTTTTTTAGCTAAAGCTCAAAATGGTCTCCTGGGGAAAATTCAACCACTTTTTGTTAGGATTTACTTTAATGTAATTTTCTTACTTCAGTATGAAAAGTTTTGGTGTAAAATAGAACTTAAGATATTAAAGAGAGCAATCTTTTTTCAGTTATAGTAGAATAACATGTGGTTGTTGGATTCAAATGAACCCTTTAAGAAATTAAAATGAAAGGAATTGTCGGTACTGATCTCTAAAATTCAGTTAAGTCTAAGAAAGTTGCCTAACATCATTAACTCTAAATAAGATAATAAGGCCCAATCAACCCTACAGGGTTATTTTTAAGTTTCAAATGAGGTAAATTTGTGTAAGTACTTTGAACGCCACAAATGTAGGGAACATAACCTCTTGCTTGTTTGATTAGGTCATTTGCAACCTTGAAAGCTATTTCATAGGACATTTTACTAAATATTTGTTCCTCTTTACTGGGGAAAAATGGTAAGAGAATTAACTTACTCTTTCATTTTCTTTGTATTTTTAGATTAACAAAAGCAGTGGCATTGTAGAAGCATCACGGATTATGAATTTGTATCAATTTATTCAGCTTTATAAAGACATCACAAGTCAAGCAGTAGGAGTTTTAGCACAGAGCTCTACTTCTGAAGACCCTGGTGAAAACTCATCATCTGTAACGTCTTGTCAGGCCAGTCTTTGGATGGGAAGGTATACACTGCATCATCACTATGTTTCACTTATTTTCCAATATGCAAGTTACTGTAATCTCATTTATATTTTTGCTGGTGCTGTTTGTGACATCTTGTTATATTTCTTTTTATCTCAGTTGATACTATATCCCAGCTCTGTTTTTTGGATTATTCTGTGCATCAAGACATTATTAGAGTGCCAAATTAAGAAAACTTCAGGTGGCTCACACCAGGTAGTGTTTCTGTCAACCCAGAGTCCTCAAATCTGCTTACATTTGATAACAAAGGAGTTAAATGTTAAAGGTTAAATGTCACTCTTCTAATCATTTTTAGACAATCAAAGTCCTGTAGGAAATTAGGTACAAAAATCTGACAAAACCATTCCAGTTTTCCTTAAAAGTATTTAATTAGGGCCTCCCTGGTGGCACAGGCAGTTGAGCGCAGCGCTGTGAAGCTGTCCGCAGCCTCTGCAGTGCCAGTTCGATCCCCGCTGGCCGCGGAGATACCCACATGGTGGGACAGACCTTTCCTGTCTTGCCTGCTGTTCCTCTAAGCAGTGTATTTTGGTCGGTCTGCCTATTCTGTTCCCCCTCTGTCTCTGGTGAATCCTCTCACCCTCCCACACATCTGACCTGTACCCCGGTTCTTGTATAAATAAATAAATCTTAAAAAAAAAAAGGTATTTAATTGGAGCATTATAATTTTAAATATTAGATCCAGGACTTGGCAGTCCATTCAAGAAAGAACAAGTAGTTGGTGCACATATTGTATATACTGAGTTACCAAGAGGAAATTAAGTCAACCAGTTTTCTGTGATGGTGCTTGTTTACTCAGGCCTAATATTATTGTTCTATCTAAACTTTCTTTTCCTTCTCTGTGATGCTTTTGGCATGTGAAAGCATCCACCTGTTGCCATTTGACAAACATAACCATAATTTAAGCTTGTAAATGCTGTACTGGAAAAATCTTATGTCGACGCAGGCATGTTGACATCCTGTCTTATTATACTAGGTAGACAGCAGACATCTGTATTGACAGTGTCTGTTACCTTAAAGTTAAGAATATACTTAACAAGGGCCTCCCCTAGTGGTGCAGGTGGTTAAGCGCAGCGCTGTGAAGCTGTCCGCAGCCTCTGCAGCGCAGGTTCCATCCCCTGCTGGCTAGGGTCCCACATGGCGCAACAGACCTCTCCTGTCGTGCCCGCTGCTCCCTTCAGCAGTGTATTTCATCAGTCTGCCTGTTCTGTTCCCCACTCTGTCTCTGGTGAATCCTCTCACCCTCCTGCGCATCTGGCCTGTACCCCAGTTCTTGTATAAATAAATAAATCAATCTTTAAAAATAAAAATGTACTTAACAAGAATTTCTCTTAGATTGCTCTATTTAGAATTGCATTTTGTGGTCTATTCTTAACTAACTGGTTTCCATTATGACTTACTACTATGTTATAGTAAAATTATATTTTTCATTTTATAATTTCCTATTTACTGTTATTAGGATTGTTTAGTTTTCTAGGTTTGGGATATGCCAAGTGTTACTGAACTACAAATGTTTCAGAACATTATAGGCAGTATTTAGGCTTATTTTTCCTGTATTTTTTAAAGTTAATTTTTCAAAAAGTTTCCTGATTTTCTGCTTTTTTACCACTATGTCTTCAGAATGGTGATTTTTTTAAAAGTATTTTGAAAGCTGAGAATAGGATTTACCAGTATATTGAAACTCTAGTAGCAAATTAAAAGAAAGTAATGTTTTTGTTGTTGCTATCATCTTAATGAAGGAAGTAGGATATTACCCATTTTCATGTGCCCTTGAAACAGAGAAGCTCAGTGCCTAATTGCTAGGTTAGGGCTGCTTCTTGCATTGTAGTTGATTTTGTTTTGTTCTTAGTTACACTAGTTCATAGAGCAAATCGAAGTTGAAGGTGATCTTGAGGGGCATTTACCTGGTGTAACTTCAGACTTGATGTTTATTTCTATTAGTGGTTTAAATTTATTGAGTACTTACAGGGTATAGGGCATTGTAAGAGTGTTTTACATGTATGAATTCATGAAATCTTCACAACAACCCCATGTTAATACAATTATTGACCTATTTCAGTTGAAGAAACTGAGGTTTAGACAAATAAATTATATGGCTAGAAATTGGCCTGACACTCACATTTAGGTCTATCTGCAGTACAGTCATGTCCCTAACATCTGCATTAGTACTCCCCAGTACATAAAGATCCTGTACTACAGTGCTTCCTAAGCTTTGATTTTTAGTGGTTTTGAAGTGGAACTTGAGATTCTGTTACACTCAAAGATGGTGCCACTGCTACTCATCCATGGTTAACTCTGAGTAGTAAAATCTTTTCACCACATTCAGCCAAGTGGTAGTCAAAATTGTACTCGAATATCTGTAAGTTATATGAAAGTCACTGCATCAGAGAAGCAAACCTTTTCATATGCAGATGACCCCAAGGAAGTCTATGACGTTTTCCCTTTTGCAAAATCTGACACTATTGAGGCAGAATAGCCCAGACTCTAGAACTAAATTGCCTGCATTCAAGTCTTGGCTCTGCTGTCACTTAGGACAATTGATTAATCTCTCTTTCCTCAACTTCCTTATCTTTTGAAAGGGATGATAAAATAGTATCTGCTTCATGGGCTATTGTGAGAGTTGAGTGAGTTAATATTTGTAAAGTCTTAGAATAGTACCTGGCACATAATAATGTCTGTAAGAGTTAACTCTCATTAATAATAGCTGTCATTATTATTAAATTACTTCTTATTTCTTTTTCTGCTTATTCTATGCATTCTACTCATTCCTTTCTGTGTCTGTGCTCCAGATTACAACAAACAAGTCTTTTCTCTCTTCCAGCCCTTCAAATATTTGAAAACAGTAATCAGATTCTCACTGAGCCTCTCTTCTTCAGGATAAGCATCCATAATTCTATGACTTTTGTTTATATGGACCTCTATATATCTGAGACTTCTGGATGATCCTTTATCTGTCAATATTTTTTCAGAATAGGGGGCATAGAACTGAATACTACTCCACTCTGCAAGTAGTCTAACAAGGAAAATAATTCTGGTCACTGTAACAATTAAGGGGAACACTGTGACAATTCCACTGGAAATTTCTCTATCTCCTTTTTACCTAATTCTATCCGGAATGTTGTTTGTGATAGCCCTCTGCTCCTCTCTTTTAAACTCTAACCTTCTGTTACTCTTTATGAATTCAGTAATATTCTATGATACCAAAATCCATGTCCACATCCTTATATATAAGTTGTGAGTTCTTCAATATGTCTGGGCCTGGCACAGCTTGTAGCATCTAAAAAATACTTAAACATTGAACTGAATAGATATATAAAAAAATCAAATACATTAGATTCACATCCATCTAGATTTTCACTTAGTTCCCCATTTCAGTTAAGTAGCTCCCCTATTTTGCCCATTACTAAAGCATAATATTTAATCTATTAGCACGTTTTGATGATTTGCCTTTTAATACCCCTTAGGCCAGTCCTAATTATCCCCCAGGTGAACTGCTGAAATGAGAATCGAATTGGTCCTCTTTCTGCACTCCCAGTTAATCTTCCTGAAGTACTCTGTCAGTGGGGTTCACTTTCCCTTTGATCAAACTCATGATTTCTAGTTTGCCCATCAGAACAAGTTTAAGCTTACTACTTTGATATCAGAGTATCTTTGCTATATTTGATTAACCTTTTGTCTCAGTTTTTTTCCACAGAGCATCATGCCAACCTTCTTGTTACACACACAGACAACACACACAGAATTTTGTACCTCCACGTCTTTATTTACCTAGAAATTTCTGTTAGATTCTTATCATTTTTTACCTCATCTTTCCAACAAGTTTAAAATACATTCATTTCTTCCCTCTTTATTAGCACTTACTACAAGTAATACACATTTGACATTTACTTATATTGTTTCATTTTCAAATCTGTGAATTTTAAACTATTTCAATATTGTATATACAATTATAATCAGCAGAGAATAAAAAATATGTTAGTGATACATCTTATCCTTATGAAGCTTATAGTCTAATGGTTATATTTTGAAACATTCAGTTTTTGGATAATTACAAAAGTAATACATGCTTGATTAAAAAAGTCTAAAAATTACAGAAATGCCCAAAAGCAAATTAAAATCACATCAAGAAACATTTATTGAGCACCTATGATAAACTCCCTATAGTTTATCATAGCCAAAGTGTTTATAATTTATGGGTAAACAGCCAGTTAGAATGCAATATTTAAGTCCTTGAACTGAGGCAAATGTCGGTTTTGAGAGCAGAGGGAAGGTAATATTTTGACCTGAGTTCTGAGTTTGGAATTTAACAAGTTCACAAGGGTATTTCAGGAAAGGAAAATACCACATGTAAACATACTTGCTCATTCAGAGACATTCTAAACTGTGACTGAGGTTGTTGGTTTGACATCTCTTCTTCCCAAGATGAAATTGCCAGTTAAGGACAGAGACTTTGCTTTCTATCTCTTTTGGGTTTCCTATAGCACCTGATACTGAAGACTGAGCTATTTTTTTTTTTTCATTTGTATGTCCATTATCAACATCAACATATTAAGGCCCTAATGATGGCAAGGTCAGTATTTTAGAGACCTTTATATCATGCATAATGAATAAATCATATTTAGCCTATATTCATTTATATAAATTCAGCATGATTAAAATGGGCCAAGTTATTTTCAGGAACACCTTAACGGTTTCAGTTTTTGTCCATATTTTCTTCTTAACCATTACAGAATTTATCTTTTGTCCTGTTTACCTTTATGAAATTTGCCTCTCTTAGTACTTCTTCCCTAAATATTTGCTATCCATGTAAGATATGTTAGTTTAGTCTAATTTTGCTCAAGTCATACTGTGTTGTGTGCTGGGGGCACATGCTTTTTAAGCATTTAAAAACAAAGTATAAAGTACAGCGACATCAGTGAATATCATTGCTCCAGCTCAGATTTCACATTGCAGGGTGAAGCAGCTGACTGATGAGGAGGAATGTTGCATCTGTATGGATGGCCGAGCTGATCTCATCCTACCTTGTGCTCACAGCTTTTGTCAGAAGTGCATTGATAAATGGTAAGTTATCTTCTGCCTTCATGGGATAACCATGGCAGAGGTCAAAGAGATAAGGAGATCTGTGTCTGACTTGAGTCTAGAATCACATTCTTCCTCTTCCTTCTTTCTCCTCATTTCTACATATATGCTCTATATATGATTAGAGGGAATAATATGAATTCTTGAATTTTGGACTTGGAAGAAATTTTAGAGAAGAGATAGTGAGTATCATCATTTTATAAAATAAGATCATTTAACAGTATTTATAGCTGACCTATAATGAACTGCTTATATCTAAAGTACAATTTGATGTTTTTTCATGTATGTATACAATCATAAAAACCATCATCACAATCCTGATAATGAACATATCCATCACCCACAAAAGTTACCTTATATCCCATTGTAAAATCTCCTTCCTGCATATTCCCTCCAACAAACTACTAAAATGCTTTTAGTAACTATAAAATTATTTGGACTTTCTGTATTTTTCATAAATGGAATCATTTTTTCTTTTGGTCTTTTTTTTTTTTCATTTAAATTTTATTTTTATATTCCCCATACAATTACACCCCCCTTATTTTGACCCCAATCCCTCCTTTCCCTGCCCCCCACCCCCCATCTTTCAGTCTTTTTTTGGTCTCTTTTTTTATTTGATTTCTTTCATTCGATATAATTATTTTTAATTTACCCATGCTGTAGCATGTATCAATAGTTCCTTCCTTTTATTACCAAATAGCATTTTTCAAAGTTATTTTTCCTCTATGTAGAATTTTAGAATAGTAGTATTTTTTTCTTTCAGTGCTTTTTTTTTAACATATATATATATATATATATATATATATATTTTTTTTTTTTACATTGTTCTTGTACAGTGTATGCTTTCTCATCTCAGGTGTAGTCCCCATGGAATTCCCACCACCAATTCACCCATGTCCCATCACCATAATCCCTTATGCTCTTCCCACCCTTTTTTTGATCCTTCACCCTCCTCCTCCCCTGCAGAATGTCTCTGATTTATAGTTGCCTGTTGATTTTGATTTTTCTTTCAGTACTTTAATAATGTTGCTTATCTTACTTGCTTTATTTCCTTTGAGAAATCTGCTGTCATCTTTATTCCTCTCTAGGTAATATGCCTTTTTCCCTCTGGCAGCTATTAAGATTTTTTTGTTGTTATCATTGATTTTGAACAATTTGATTATGATGTGCCTTAGAATAGTTTTCTTCATGTTTCTTGCGCTTAAGGTTCATTGAGTTGCTTGGATTTGTAGGTTTATACAAATAGTGTCATAACTTTGGAAATTTTTCAACCATTATTTTCTCACATTTTTTTTCTGTTCCTTCCCCCTCTCCTTCCAGGATTCCTGCTACACATAGATTAGAACACTTGTCGTTGTCCCACAGTTCAGTGATACTGTTTTTCTTTCAAGTCATATTCTCAGTGTTTGATTTTGGATAGTTAATATTACTATGTCTTTTCAAATTCACTAAACTTTTTCTTTTTTTTTTTAACAATACCTAACTTGCCATTAATCCCATCCAGTGTATTTTTTTACTTCAGGTACTATAGTTTTCATCCATTGGAGTTAGATTTAAGTTCTTTTTACTATCTTCTATGTCTCTGTTTAATAATTTTGGTCTTTCCTCCAGTTTTTTAAATATATGGAATACAGTTATAATAACCTATAATTCTCTTGTCTGCTAATTCTAACATCTCTGTCAGCTCTGGGTTGGTGTTTGGTTTTTGTTTTTTTTTTTTTTTTTCCCTTGGGTTGGTTTTAACTAATTTTTCTCTTCATTTTGGGTTGTACTTTTTGGTTTTTATGCCTGGTGGTATTACTTGGGTTACCAGATACTGTGAATTTTACCTTTCTTAACACCAGACATTTTTGTATTCCTAAAATATTCCTGAACTTTGTTGTAGAATATAGGAACTTGCAAATAGTTTGATTTTTGGGGGACTTCCTTGTATGCTTTGTTAGACAGGACTGGAGCAATGTTTACTTTAAAACTAATTATGCCCCATTAATGAAACAAGACCATTCAGAGTACTCTAGTCAATGCTCTGTGAATTATGAGGTTTTCCAGTCTTGCTAGTAGGAACAGGCTATGTAAGCTTTGGTACTGTTTCCTCAGATCCCTTTTGGAGATTCCGCAACCTCACGTAGTTTCCTCATATACACACACTGGCCATCACTCCTTCCATATATCTCTACAGTTCTCCCTTTGTGTAGCTCCTCTCCAGTACTCTGCCCTGTGAACTCTAGCTTGGCCACTCAGATTCTCAGCTCTGTCTCTTTCACTCATGGTTTCTGCTAATCTCCACCTGCTTTTCCCCAGGCTTGCTCTCCATTCTGGAAAAGCTCAAGGCAATTAACTGCAGCAGTTAGTGGGTTTACTTTCCTGCTTCCAGTCTCTCAGGGATTATTGTCCCTTGCCATCTGATGTCCAGTGCTGAAAACCATTGTTTTATATATTTTACCCTGTGTTTTAGTTATTAAAAGTAGGAAGATAAATCTGGTCCTTGTTGCCTAGAAGCAAAAATTAACTTTTGAAATTGTAACTTTCGTGCACAGAGCGTACATAATTTCTTGTAAAATACCTCTGAGGAACCAGAAATCAACATGAATAATATATGCCAGCTCTAACTCTCACATTTAGCTTTTGGAATAGATTTCTAAATTTTTGCACAAAAGCCAAAGGACAGTTGATATAATTTAATTACTTTGATCTCAGATTTCACTGAGAGATGAAGAGAAAAACATTTTCTCTGCAACACATGTTTCTGCCTCAAATATGCTATTTTGAAATTTCCAAAATGTTTAATGAGAAAAAAAAAATCTCCTTGGAAAACATAGTCTTGTTTAAGTAATCATATATAAGTCCTTTCCCTATCAGAAAAATTATCGTGGATATAAAGTTCATCTTTTATTTTAAACCTTGAATGCTTCCATTCAAGGGAAAAACTAAATTTCCTTCTGTGCGAGACTAGTTAAGTGAATTGTGGTTTATCCATACCATGTATGTTTAGAAAGAATAGATACCTGTAGTATGTACAGATACATAATGGTCTATAAGATATATTGACAAGTTAAAAGAACAGTTATGTATATATATCATTCTAGATATCATTCATATCTCTTGAAGAATATGTAAGAAATTGGGAACAATGGTTACCCATGGGAAAAGAATTAAAAATTGCAACGGGAGGGAAAGATTTTTCAGTTTTTATGTTGTTTACATTTTTAAAAACCTTATTACTTTATTATTACTTTATTACCTTATTACTTTTTAAACAAATCTGTTTTTAAAAAAAAGAATTTAACAAACAAACTGTCCTTTGTTTGTCTTCTCTAATAGGAGTGATCGACACAGGAATTGCCCTATTTGTCGCCTACAAATGAGCGGAGCAAATGAATCTTGGGTGGTGTCAGATGCACCCACTGAAGATGATATGGCTAACTATATTCTTAACATGGCTGATGAGGCAGGCCAGCCCCACAGGCCATGACCTTATACTTTGGTCATAGGGTAGAATGCAGGGCCTATAACATACAGCACAGAGACCGAAATCAATTTTCCCCACCCTGTTATTTTCACTATTCTGAAAATTTGTCCTATTTCTTTTGAAAAAATTTCCATGTCTTCCATTTATGGTAAACTAAAATTTGCTACTGTTTAAACTATGTTTTCCTGTTATATAGCTGTTCTAATACATATTAGAACTAAATGCTCTTGAATCCTTTGCTGAGGTAAAAGCAACATTTTTAGAGGCTTCTGAAACACTGTTTTTCAGAGCAGGAGTACTTGGGAATCTTTTTAGTTATGTGTAAAGTAAACCTTGAATGTGAAAAAGCTGTAACCATCTAAGAAAATTTTAAATGACTGAAAATGTAGAGTACATCAATGTGCATGTTACTACTTAAGTCTTTCTGCTGGAATCTAAGGAGTATGTTTGCCCCCTTGTGGTTAATTATTGCTCCTTTAATAATTTTTACTTGAAATGATCCACAGTTATTTCTTAACTCTAGCAGTGTGTTTTGGAACTACATACTTTTTACTTAAAAGCCTTTTTTTCCCCATGCTGTATAATTTGGATGAAGACTATAAAGTTGGGCATGGCTGGCTTGTAACGGGATTCCTGCTGGGGAATCTTCTTGGCTGTACTGGAAGTGCTTTCCCAAACTTCTTAAATCACTTTTGATAAGTCTTGTGCATCTTTGATTTTCAGAAGGAAATTTTTCTTCATTATAGATCCTACATTTTTTTATGTCCAATTGTGAAGTCATTCAATATTGATTTATGGTGCTTTTATTTTCTTAACTTAAAGGAATCTTTCTGAGGTCTCAGAGTCTTCAAATTTTTTAGATTAAGAGAAGAGAAAATAGGGTATAGCTTTTTAACCATGTATAAACAAAACATCTCTCTGAAAATTAGGAGATAATTTGGCTTTCTTACTTTTTCACTATACTTCCTTTGAAATACTCTGAATGAGTATAGTCATAATGGAATTATGATATTCAATAGCACTTCAACCATTTTTTAAAATTTTGCTTATAAAGTAAAATTTTTGTTTTATGTTAAACATTAAAATTGCAACATATAATAAAACTTGGACTTGATGTCTCCTTTAAAAAGTACATTAACAGTCCATATAACTTTTCTGACGTATTCTTGATAAGTTGCAAATAATATTTTTTTCCTAAGTACCAAAGTATGTGATTTAAATTGCTGCTTATTGATGGCAGAATTTGGGGGTACTAGCATTTTAAAATAATATAGGCATGCAAATAAAATAATGATGTGATGTTTAACGAAAGGTAGCTTGATTTCACCCCAAAACTATTGCTAACTAATTGGTTGACATTCATGATGGGGCAGCTCAGTACTAAACAGTCTGGATATTTATGAAAGCAGAGTTCTAGGAACTCTATCATAGCAATGTAGCAATGTACCTGATGATTGTTTGACCTTGAAAAGGTCCCTTCCCTCTAGTTTGTAGGTTCCTACATTAGAAACTGAGACTTTAGTCTGTGGTTTTCACTTTATTTTAGCAGTAGAATTTTTTTTCAAGTAAAATCTTACTCATAATCCCTGCGTACATATGCGCTCGCACACACTCCCTAAGCCACTATATAAAAGTCATAGTCAAATAAATTTCCCTATATAAACTTTATATAATAAAATAACATGTTATTAAGTCAACCAGTGAAAACATGCATTAATGCATTGGTGATATCCAGTGTATTAGAATTTGGTGGGAACACAGTTATGAGAGCTGTTTTTAAATTAACTTTTTAAAAAATTAAATTCAAGTCAACTTTGCAGAACTCTGTTTCCTCCTTGGACTCTTAGTATTCCTTGGAGCATATTTTGAAAATCTTAGGATAAATAATCCTTCTGAAATTTTACCAGCTCTATGATTTTAAATTGTCCTCCTAGATTAGACTTGCTAAGTCTAATTCAGATAGCCTAATTGAATACAGTTTCTGAAAATGAACAAAATTGCTTTATAGATTATTGGATCTTTCCAGATATAGCCAATGATTTTATCCCCCAGAATCAGTCACCTTTCAAGGAATTATTTAACATTAAGCCCAGTAACTTAATATTGCCCGAACTTTTTTATTTTCCAATATGAGCTCCAAGACACTAACTGATCTACTGTGAAAAAGAAAATGTTCTCATTAGCCTTATCTAATAAATAAGCACAGTTTTTGCTTATTCCATTAAACTGGGTGATAATTCTTTAGATGTGAGTGTTAGGTAGGTTCCATTGTAATAATTAATTATAAAAGTTGTAAATTTGTTTAATGGGTGAAATAAACTTTTTGTATTCTGTACAGCTTGTCTTTTTTAAATATGAAGTATTTAAATGCACTTACTATGATAGGAGATATAATGTGTGCCTTCTAGGATTTGTGAAATGGTTTCATGAACTATAAGGAATTTGTTTTGTAAGTTAACAAGTTTTCCTGACCCTAACCCAGTAACAAAGGGTTTACTCATGTTATAATGCTATAGAACTTTAGTTTAGAGAAATGGACATGTCTATGTACTGAATTTAGAAGTTGAGAATGGCATCTGTTTACTCTTAGGACAAACTGATATATTGTGCAATAAATAATCTTTAGCAAGTAAATTTTAGCTAACAGAAGAGATTTTTTTCTTATGTAGTTTCACATTCTTATAACTAAATGTTTGTATTTCTTAGAGGACTGTTTTAAATTGTGCAGTGGGGATTGTGGTGTTTCTGTGCTATGTTTTAAAATTCATTTCAAATTGGACTCAATTTCTTAATACCTAATATATATCTAAAGTAATAAGGCTGCTTAAAGATAGCAGTGACCTTTAACACTGATAAGTTGGATTCATTAAAAGGCAGTCCAAAAAATTTTCATGTTTAGCTGTTTTTTTTCTTCATTAAGTCAAGCTTTGCCTAATGAGGAATAAGGAAACTACTTGGAGATTAGGGAATCTCCAATCACAAATCAGCTGATCACCTTTACTTATGATGGGCAATACAATGACGATATAATATAAATGGTGACAACAGACTTTCATTAGTTTTCCTGTTTTTTTACTCATACTCCATCATAGGGTAATTTTGTAAAATCATTTCCAAGATAATTAGAGAAGTATCTTAGAATCTTAGTTCTGAGAATAAGAAAGCCATTTATAAGAAGGAGCGGCAGTTTTTAATTAAATTTACTGATATATATCATCATGAAGAAATATACATTTTGTTATCAAAAGACATAAAAGCCTCCTCAGAGATGTATTTTGATAATCTTGCAGCTATTTATAGTTTTACTTTCTGGCAGCCTCTGTCTTTCCAATATAATATTTAGAGGTTGAGGATGTAAAAATTTCCAATGAACTATATTTGTTTGATTTGTGTTCCTTCTATTGTAGTTGTTAATTTGTTCTTTATAACAGTTCAAGTATAGACTACTTGGGCATATTGCCATCATAATTACATTCAGTGTACCTCAAACCCAGAGGAAGAGGGATGTTTTTTCACCAGTGTATCACTCATGTCAGAGAGAAAGCCAGAGGGATATGCTCTGAACTCTGCTTTAATCCAAAATAAGAGGAAGTAGTGGTCTAGGAAAGGCCTCGGTAAATACCAACCCAGGAACTGTGATTTGTTTTCATGTGTCAAAGAGCAATGGAATTGATCATTTCAATGATGCAGGTTGAATTAAACCATAACATGAACTTGATCCTTTTAGACTAAGGGATGACTATGCCTCAAAAACTGTTCTTTCATGCAGGGGAGGAGGAGGAGGGAGGAGCACAGGGAACTGAGGTGATGGTGCACGGGTGCATTGGTGAAGGAAACTCAGGGACTACACCTGAGGAGGTGGGGGGAAGCAAATATTGTTTAAAAATGAACAATGATGTAAAAAACAAAAATTAATAAAAAAAAATTGTTCTTCAAGAAATGTGGGCCAGTATACAATTGCCTTTGAAAGCAACTACAAACCTAAAAGAAAGTAGGGATTCACCCTCCAAAAAAGGTAATTATGTCATGAAAATACAAAGTGCTGTAGAAAAAGGTGCTGAAAAGTTTGTAGGACAGGTAAAAATTCAGCAAGTATTGGCTGAACTGACTAAAGTAATATCTAGGAGAAAGGAAAGGAAATGAGTTATGTGTAGTTTTGCTCACAAATTGTAACAAGGCAGAGGTTAAAGAAAATGATAGCAAAAGTTTACCTTCTGACTCTGGTGAGCATCAGTTTGAAAATTTTGAGTTTTCCTAGTGGATGTCATGCATATCTGAGTCTTAGTAAAACCTAAACTAGTAGTTATTATTGATAGTTTCTCATGATACCCATTCTTAAAGTAAAAAACTTAAACATTTGCTTTAAGTAGTATTAAGTTAAAGTAGTTTTATCATTGAGCCACAGTCCTAACACACTTTATTTAATAATTAAAAACAAATACTTGATACAGATAAAGTGACAATGAAAAACTGTACAATACTTGCTATGTTAGGGCAAATGTATACAAATGGTGGCTTTCCAACAATAATAAATGCCTAAGATAAATGCTGGATTTTTATTCAGTTTTATGATTAACTGTAAGATAGCATGTTTACCTAGTAAAAAGACTACATATCTAATTTCATATGCTAAGTTAACCAGTGATGCACAAGCATCATAAAGTCACAAGACAATCTAATAAGCATTTTCACAGGCAAAAATAGGGTTCTTCTAACTTGACAATAATCTGAGTTTGCCCACAGAAATAGGAAGGTCCTTGGACAACTTGTTGAGTACTAAGAAATATATCCTTAAAAATTTTCCAAAACAAAAATTCATTTAGTTGTTCTATATACATTTATAGAGCACCTAACTACGTACCAGGCACTAATAACACAGATAAAGAATATATTGGTAAAGCTTAAATTCAAATTGGTCTTTAAAAATGCTTTCTACCTGATGACTTATATGTTCTGAGGAAGTCTGCATATTAGATAAAGGAGAAATTTCACCTTTAAAAAAAAATGCACCAGATTACACTGACTGAAAAAAAAATTAACATTTGTGAGGCCTATTGGATATGGGGAAAGGACTACATTAGGAGTACAGAAATCTAGTCCTATTACTAATTGGCTGTGTGACCTTAAGCAGATTTCACTTCTCTGATCCTAACTCTTCATAAGTAAAATGATAATTGGGCTATAATCATAAAATATTAGAGTCAAAGGAGCAGAGGTCACCTAGTCCTGTGCTTTTCAAAGGCCTTAGTCCAAATGAAAACTTGTAGAAGCTCCAATGTAAAACTGAGGAAAGCAAAGTCCCTTTGAAGAAGTAAAGGCAGCACCCAGAATCTCACCCCGCCTCCTTTCCTTACCCTGAAGTGATCTGGGAGGGGGAGTCACAGAACACCCTTTTGTAAACCACCCATCTCATCCAAAACCCTCAACTTTTCAGATTAGGAAACCAAGCTGCAGAATAGGAGTGATTGTTTAATGTGCGCATTTGGTTTCCTAACTAGGAGGGAGGAGAGCTAAATAAAAGTTTAAGAAATTCATAAACATAAGTTGTCAAGAAGGCAGTTTTCTATTTTAATTATCCCAAAGTAGCTCCTTTGTGAAAGGGAGCTTTGAAGTTTATTTTTGTTAAGGCAGCTAGCCAGCCAGAGGCTGAAATGAACAACTACCAACCAGCCTGCAGTGCCTACAGAGGCCTATGGCAAAACCACACAAAGCTCATGTCAGTGGGCATTGGACCGTAGCAATTCTGGGCCCCAACAACACAAGCACTAGTGGTTTCAAGAGAAATATTTGGAAAATTAGGAATGAGTACAGACAAGTGCCTAGCTCCCAGATCCCCAAGGAGTAGTCAACATCTATTACTCAGAAATATTAACAAAAGGGAACATACTCAATCTTAAAGTGAACAGTGCAACCAAAATCACTAGTTTGAAAGTTCTTCGAAGGGATCCTCCCCATGAAGGAAAGTCCTAGTTTGGTATCTTAACCACTGTTTATCACAGCAGACTTGAAATAAAAAAGGAAGAATGCACGTCCAGTGTGGACCTATACATTCAGGTCTGTGATCTCCTCGGATTTCATGGCATCAGACAGGAAGCTGAGCTCATTGCACAGGGTCTCGTATCGGAATGCCATCCGGATCTGAGCAACGTTGGTCTTACGAATATCATTTCCTTCAGGTCCTTCTTTATAATAATTTTGTCCAAGAAATTTTTGCTTTTCCTATGGATCAAGAGAAATACAAATAGAACAGTTTACCTTAGATTCACTTTCTCTATCCACATGTCAACTCTGACATTAGCCACACCAAATCAGATTAGCATCCCTGAAGCAGGTACTTCATCAGAACATCCTTCCCCACAGGGCTCTAATAAAATTCCCCCCACCTCCCTGTCCTCAAGAATGTTGGCCCAACAACTACTTTCATTCCCTTCATTTCTGACTATGCTTTCCTTCATCAGAAAGGAAAGATAGGAGCTGCAGGAGCTGCATGTGATGGAGAAGGCAAAGTGAAGGCCTGAAGACTAATTAAGGAGACTCTCCTGAGAACTGACAAAGGCAGAAAGTCAGGTCTGGAAGACAACAGAGAGTTAGCGCAAGAAGCCCAATCTACATATATTGAATCTTCAGCCTTTAAGTATTCTCTGCATAAGCATCTATCACCCTATATAGTGACATCACCAGAGGAGGTGCCCAAGGACATCATCCAGAACAATGGTTCTAAACCCTGCCTCCCCATCAGAATTACCTAAGAATCTGTAAAAAAAAAAAATTGCTGGTGTTCAGGTCCTAACTTTTTAATCTAGATACCGTTCATCTACTCAAGAAACACTGAGTACCTACTATGTTCCGGGGACTATTCTAGACCTTAGGGATAATCTGAACAAAATGATGGAAACTACAATCTAGAAGGAAAGGCAGAAAAATATATAACTACATATTTCAAGGTCAGTAGTAACACACATCAAAGAGATGGAGAATGATGGCAAGTATGTGACTAGTTTAGAATGGGTAATCTGAGGGAAATGCAAATCAAAACTACCATGAGATACCATCTTACACCAGTGAAAATGGCACATATTAAAAAAACTAGCAACAAATGTTGGCGAGGGTGTGGAGAAAAAGGAACTCTTCTGCACTGTTGGTGGGAGTGCAAACTGGTCCAACCACTATGGAGAGCTGTGTGGAGATTTCTGGACCTACTAAACATAGAGCTTCCATATGATCCAGCAATTCCACTCCTAGGTATTTACCCAAAGGACACAGAAACATCAATTCCAAAGAACACCTGCACCCCTATGTTTATAGCAGCACTGTTTACAATAGCTAAGATTTGGAAACAACCCAAATGCCCAAAAATAGATGACTGGATCAAGAAGATGTGGTACATATACACCATGGAATATTACTCAGCATTCAAAAAAGATAAACACATGCAATTTGCAGCAACATGGATGGCGCTGGAAGGGATCATGCTCAGTGAAATAAGCCAGAAAGAAAAAGAAAAATACCAGATGGTCTCACTCATAGCAGGAATCTAGAAAACTTAAATAAGGGACCAGGAAAATGAATAACTATAAGAAAGTGAAAATCAAAATCAACAAACAACTATGAACCAGAGACACTCTATGGGGTAGGGGGTGGGGAGGGGAGGGATTGGGGTCAAAATAAGGGGGTTACAATTGTATGGGGAATATAAAAATAAAATTTATTTAAAAAAAATAATAACACTATTGAATTTTGAAAAAGAAACTCCTCTACAGTCTAATATTTCAGCTAAAAGAAATTCCAATCAAAATATTTCTTTGAAGTTTAAAAAATATTCTCAACATTATCTGCATATATATGTGTATGTGTTTATATAATAAAAAGAAAAATATCAAAAAAAATTAGAATGGGTAATCTGAGAAGGCCTCTCTGAGGAGGTGACATCTGAGTAGAGTCTGAAAAAGGTGACAGAGCAGGCATGAAAATTCAGGAGACTTCCAGAGATCTCCCTTAGCACATGAATGTCAGTGAGACAGACCTTACTTGTTCTATTCATCACTGATCCCAGTGCCTATGAAGTGCCCGGCACAGCAGACATTTGTTGTACACATGTTCAGAGGACAGGAGGGACAGAAGGCAACACCATCACCCACGGTACCTGATGGGAGAGGCCGCTCTGCAGCACACTGTTCCTGGCGATTTCACACAGATCACACGTGCTCAGCTTCCACACTTGAGCTGCAATTGCATATTCTTCCATAAGTGCCTCCTAAGTTCCCACAAAAGTAAATGTGTTAGGTGGCAGAATAGCCATTTCAATGCTTTACATATTTCCAAAACTGTAAACATCCAATATTGAGATCCAATTTGTCTTTAATGACTGGCACCTGGATGACTGGCACTAAAGGCTGGCCCTTGTGTATGATGCTGCCTTTCCCTTCCTCCTCTCTCTCCCTCTAGAAGCCAAAGTATAACAATAGTAATAACGTTAATAAAAACGGTAGCTAACATTTGAACACACGCTAAATGCTGATGCTATGTTAGACTCACAATCATAATGAATTCTCACAATGAGGTAGAGATGGACATAGAGACAATTTTATGCCTATTTTACAAAGGAGAGGAATAAGATACAAAATGGTCAAATAACTTTACCAGGATCCCAGAGCTGATGTTAAAGCAAGGGAAATGACATTATGCCTTCGAGTACTCCCAAAGAGAGGGCCCCTGAAGGAAGATTCTTCCCTTACCAGGAATTACCTCTTATCTTCACTGGGCCACAGCCCCACCCTAAAGGCAGAACTGAGTCATGTGCTCAGGTCCCTGCAGTGGGAGGACAGCCCTATTGGGGGCACCTACAGGCATCACCTTCTAAAGTCCTCACCTTCGTGTA